CTTTCTCTCATCAATGCCCGCGACCTCGCGGACATCACAGGCGCTGCGTTCAATTGTTTTCTCCTGCCAGCCAACGCCGCCCCCGTCAACATGAAGCAGACGGCTGGCCAGGACTACGTGACGGACTAAAAAGAGCGGGGGAAACATCGCGACAACGGGCCTCCGTGGCCCCACATATTCATGGCGATGGTAGCTCATTTCCTGACTACCCCAGCGGACAACAAGGAGCCAGTGGTGAGTCCGGCGCTGGCGGTTCTCAGGCACTACTGGACACAGACTTTTTGCCTGCTAGCCGAGCACGTACGCTACTGCCGCTGGTTCGACAAGAAAGCTGGCAAGAAGGAGGCGGACACTTACAGACAGCAGTTCATGATGAGCCCATACATTCAGAGCCAGGTTGCTACGATCGGCGGCATGTCGCTGACGACGGCCCACGCGGCGTTGCAAGTGTGCATTCGTCAAGAGAGCGGCAAGATCAAGGCTGGAGCGGCCCCCGAAGGGGCCTTGGAGAAGGATGCAGAGCGTCTGCTTGCGAAGCTCGGGATGGCCCCAGAGGAGACCCAGATGCACTTGGCAGCTTAGATGATGGCATGTCGGCCCCCTCCGTCGGTGTGCAACGCCTTAATGTCTGGACCTCTGGTCCTGCGCCTTCGGAGGCCCCCCCCCCCTGCGATATGATTCAGAGAGTGGATAGTGAGTCGGCTTTAGCGACGCCCTCTGCCCCGACTTCGGCACTTACTATTTCTGAGACCCGTGCTCGCATGAGGATAAGGCAACCCGCTCGCTTGTCTGCCATCGCTCAGTCACTTCGCATGCTCGAGCTGGCCCAAGAGGGCCACCTTGGACACTCCCAGCTTGCTCAGCTGCAAGCGAAATTAGCCACCCCGATTTTAGAATACACCTCGGGGAATGTGAAAGTTAAGGCTTACGATCAGGAGCCCCTGGAGTGTCGTTTGACGGTGGTTCAGGCTCTTCAGAGAGCCGCTCAGGTCAGGACGGCTTCCAATGACCTCAGCTCCCCCCCGTTCTCTGCTGATGCGCGTGCTTCGAGTGCGCTGCTTGCTCCTTCCCTTCCTCCACCACCACCGTCACTGATTTCAGAGCCCGAGCAGAATGAGTTTCGCACATAACGCCACGGCCCCCTCCGCTGCCTGCTGCCCTCTCTCCTATCCTTCCTCTCTCCCGCGGCTCCTGCTGCTGCTTGCCCCCCCCCCTTCTCCTGGCCTCGCGTGTGTGTGTGTGTCGTGTGTGTGTGTGTGTCGTGTGTGTGTGTGTGTCGTGTGTGTGTGTCTGTGTGTGTGTGTGGGGGTGTGGGTGTGGGTGTGGGTGTGTGTGTGTGTGTGTGTGTGTCTGTGTGTCTGTGTGTCTGTGTGTCTGTGTGTCTGTGTGCCTGTGTGTCTGTGTGTCTGTGTGTCTGTGTGTCTGTGTGTCTGTGTGTCTGTGTGTCTGTGTGTCTGTGTGTCTGTGTGTCTGTGTGTCTGTGTGTCCGTGTCTGTGTGTCTGTGTGTCTGTGTGTCTGTGTGTCTGTGTGTCTGTGTGTCTGTGTTCTGTGTCTCTGTTTGTCTGTGTGTCCGTGTCTGTGAGTCTGTGTCTGTGTGCCTGTGTGTCTGTGTGTCTGTGTGTCTGTGAGTCTGTGTGTCTGTGTGTCTGTGTGTCTGTGTGTCTGTGTGTGCTGTGTGTCTGTGTGTCTGTGTGTCTGTGTGTCTGTGTGTCTGTGTGTCTGTGTGTCTGTGTGTCTGTGTGTCCTGTGTGTCTGTGTGTCTGTGTGTCTGTGTCTTGTGTGTCTGTGTGTGTGTCTGTGCGTGTGTCTGTGTGTCTGTGTGTCTGTGTGTCTGTGTGTCTGTGTGTCTGTGTGTCTGTGTGTCTGTGTGTCTGTGTCTGTGTCTGTTGTGCTCGTGCGTCTGTGCGTCTGTGCGTCTGTGCGTCTGTGCGTCTGTGCCGTCCTGTGCGTCTGTTCGTCTGTGCGTCTGTGCGTCTTGCGTCTGTGTGTCTGTGTGGTCTGTGTGTCTGTCCTGTGTGTCTGTGTGTCTGTGAGTCTGTGTGTCTGTGTGTCTGTGTGTCTGTGTGTCTGTGTGTCTGTGTGTTTTGTGTGTCTGAGTGGTCTGTGTGTCGTGTGCTTGTGTGTCTGGTGTCTGTGTGTCTGTGTGTCTGTGTGTCTGTGTGTCTGTGTGTCTGTGTGCCTGTGTGTCTGTGTGTCTGTGTGTCTGTGTGTCTGTGTGTCCTGTGTGTCCTGTGTGTCTGTCTGTGTGTTCTGTGTGTCTGTGTGTCTGTGTCTGTGTGTCTGTGTGCTGTGTGTGTCTCGTGTGTCTCTGTGTGTCTCTGTGTGTCTCTGTGTGTCTCTGTGTGTCTCTGTGTGTCTCTGTGTGTGTGTCTCTGTGTGTCTCTGTGTGTGTGTCTCTGTGTGTCTCGTGTGTCTGTGTGTCTCTGTCTCTGTGTGTCCTCTGTTGTGTCTGTGTGTGTCTGTGTGTGTCTGTGTGTGTCTGTGTGTGTCTGTGTGTGTCTGTGTGTGTCTGTGTGTGTCTGTGTGTGTCTGTGTGTGTCTGTGTGTGTCTGTGTGTGTCTGTGTGTGTGTCTGTGTGTGTCTGTGTGTGTCTGTGTGTGTCTGTGTGTGTCTGTGTGTGTCTGTGTGTGTCTGTGTGTGTCTGTGTGTGTGTGTGTGTCTGTGTGTGTGTGTGTGTCTGTGTCTGTGTGTGTCTGTGTCTGTGTGTGTCTGTGTCTGTGTGTGTCTGTGTCTGTGTCTGTCTGTGTCTGTGTGTGTCTGTGTCTGTGTGTGTCTGTGTGTGTCTGTGTGTGTCTGTGTGTGTTTGCGTGTGTTGGCGGTGTCCTGTGCTTTCTCGCCCGTCGTTCCCCTTCGTTCCCTCGTCGTGTCGTTGCTGGGACGTGGCCTAGGATTGAATTGGGGGAGACTTTCGACTCTCTTCTGATGCGAGCCTGCCGCTGGGAGGATGGTGCCCACGTAGGCCGTCACGGGCTGTTCCCCACTGGACGGTGCTGCCTTGGGCCAGTGGCTTCCCCCCAGCGAGGCTGCAGGCTATAGCCCCGTGCTATCCGCAGATCCTTATACATATCATGTGCCCGTTTGCTAAGTCTCGCTCTACAGTGGAACTCACCAGGGTCGTAAGCGTTCCAGTCCAGCCCTCCTCCTCTTCATCCTCATCCTCATCCTCATCCTCCTTCCCCTACACCTCCTCCCCCTCCTCGTCCGCCTCCTCCTCCTCCTCGTTATCCTCCTCCTCCTCATCCTCGTTCTCCTGCTCCTCCTCCTCCTCCTCCTCCTCCTCCTCCTCCTCCTCCTCCTCCTCCTCCATTATTCGACGGCAGATGTCGTCGGATGATCGCGCCGCATCGTCGATGCATCGGCGACGTCAGCGATGCATCGAGGCCGTCGGCGTCGAGAAGACCGGGTTCCATATCAAGCCGCATCGGCGGTGCTGCGCGATCCTCCGACCGCATCTAGGTCGGCCCCGTTGCAGGGTCCTTCTCGGTCGGCTCTTCTTGGCCAGGGCCGCCTTTGCAGTTCTAGCCCACCTGTCTGCCTTCCGTCCCGCTTTCTTCCCCCCCTCTGGTCCTGCATTCCTGCTCGCGCTGTGCCGTTCACTTTCGGCTGGTCGCCGCCACTGCGCCGCCGCTCCGCGCACAGAGAGGGGCCGCGCCGCGGCTCGTGTGCGAGCGCACGTCCATCGCTGCGTTTTGCTCGTGCTCCTCGTCGCTGGCCGCCGTGGCGGCAGAGAGCGGCGGGACGCGGAGAGACGGAGCGGCCATTCGTTTGCCTCCTCATGCCTCCTTCCCGATCGCCTTTCTTTGCAGTCCTTCCCCCCCTCCTCACACTCCCCTCCCATCCCCTCCTCCCCCCCTCCCCTCCTCTCGTCTTCTCCTCCCCTCCACAATTACCCTCCTCTCCTTTCCTCCTCCCCTCCACAATTACTCAATATGAATACTACTCTCCCTCTTCCCCTGATGACGGTTTGAAAGTATTGGCCCCCCCCCCCGCGTGTTGTTTTTTACACAGGATTTCCCCGGAGTTGGGTTTTCGCTTGCATTTTTTTCCAAAATGCTGCTCTCGCTGAGGCGCCGGCCTCATTTTCGGGCCCCGCTCGTTCCGAATCGTGCTCCCGCTGCAGAGCTGGCCTCATTTCCGTGTTTCCGCTCGTTCCGAATCGAGTTCCTGTTGCAGCGTTGGCCTCATTTCCGCGCTTCCGCTCGTTCCGACTCGTGCTCCGCTGCAGCGTTGGCGTCATTTCCCGTGCCATGCCACGGCATGCAATGCAATGCTAGGTTGATGCTACGCTTTGCGGTGCTCTTCTACGCCATGCCATGCCGTGCTCTACAATGCATCGCGTACCCTTGCAGGATCATTGCCCTGCTCGACATCCGACTGTGCGAGTAGAGAGGGGATCTACGCCATGGTACGGGATGGGAGGGAGGGGTAGGATGTCCGATATGACGCGAGCGCACCTAGCTTGTCCCCCTCCCCTCCCCTCCTCCCCTCCTCCCCTCCTCCCCCCCTCCCCCTTCCCCTTCCCCTCCCCTCCCCTCCTCCTGCTCCTCACTCCCCTCCCCCATGCCTCCCCTGGGGTCCGACGCCGCGAAAAAAGTGTCCGACGCCTCGCACGTGCACGGCCAGAGGCCCAGACCCCTGACTGCTTCCGCGGCGCGCGTCTTTCTCCGGCCGGGGTCGGATGCGCGAGGGCCCCCCGGGCCCGACGCTTCGCGAAAGCGTCCCGTGTGGAACAGCAGATGCGACGCCTGGATCTCAGGGTTTCCTCAGGTGTCGTTTCGATTCCTCCGATTCGAGTCGATCCAGTTTCGATTGCCTCGGATTCCAATGCGAATTCAACTTGGGAGTCCGATCCGGGCTCCGATTTCTGACCGGAGGCGTACCAGCCTGCCGATCCGACTTGTCCCGACTCGGCTGCCGATTTCCGCCGCCCCGATTCGTCTCGATCGCCGATCCGACTCGCCGATCCGACTCGGGGCTCTCCCGCGCTCCGACGCGCCAGGACGAGTTCGACGACTACTTGGCCGACCTGTTCACGTGACGCCGGGTCTCCTGGCCTGCCAGCGGCGAGCACAGGGGGGCGGCGAGCACGAGGGGGCGGCCTCGAAGGCTTCCGGGGGAGGGGAGGGGCAGGCGTCCTCCCAATTGGCTCTTCTGGCTTCTGGGAAGCCTCCTGGCCTCTATAGGCCTCCAAGATGGGGTCCGGGTAGATGGGTTGCCGTTCATCACCCCCCACCAAACCACCCCAACCCAACCCGAAGGCTCAGATTTACCCTCGATTTCCAGTGGGGGGGGGGTCAGGAAACATCGAAGAAACACATGTGGGACCCTTACCCCCCCAACCCGAAATTCGGGTCTTCGGGTTGGGTTGGGGTGGTCTGGTAGGTAGTCAGTTCACATCCTGTCTTTCCGGGGTGCCAGAACACGATCAGAGCCCCTCCAGGCTTCGAGGCCCATCCGGGTCCGTTGAAAGCCACGCTGGCACTCTGAACCGAAAGGCCACCGAAGGTGCTATTTCTGTGTCCTCCTGGAAGACCCCGGCTTCGGAAGCCCCAGCGCCCTCTTCAGAAAGCCAGACCCCCCCGCGCGCACCCACCTCTTCGGTAGCAAATCATGGGAGCCTTGCATCAGCGTCGGTTGGCGTCTGGCAGTCGATGAGACAGCGCCGATCCAGCAGCGATTGGCGTCGATTCGCGAGAGCCAACAAGATGGCATGGGAGGCTCCCACATGAGTTGCCGCAGAGCCCAGACATGCAACGTCCTGATTTTTTTGGGGGGGACGGCGTCCCTGAAAGCCCCGACCCTTTCCCCGGCACCGGCTTCTCCTCCCGGGTCGTTTTCTGACGGCCCCGAGGCCCGGCGAGGGCCTCCAGGGGCCGAAAGTAGCCAAAAACCTCCCGTCCAGATTTTGTGTTGCACGACGCGATCGTGTCTGGGAGCGACTCTGCGCCGCGTCGCCAGACCTGCCCGCCTCCGACGCCCGCCGGCCCTCGCAGAGCGCAGCCAGCGCCGCCCCGCGCCCAGGGCGGCCGGCGCTCCGCGCCCACCCAGGCGCGGCGGCGGGCCGCCGCGGCCGCCCGAGAGGCCCTGGCTGGAGGGTTTCTCCGAAGGGCTTCGGCGACCCCTCCTCCTCCTCCCCCTCCTCCTCCTCCTTCTCCTCCTCCTCCTCCTCCTCTCCTCCTCCTCCTCCTCCTCCTCCTCTTCCTCCTCCTCCTCCTCCTCCTCCTCCTCCTCCTCCTCCTACTCCTCCTCCTCCTCCTCCTCCTCCTCCTCCTCCTCCTCCTCCTCCTCCTCCTCCTCCTCCTCCTCCTCCCCCTCCCCCGTCTTTCTCCTCGTCCTCCCCCTCCTCGCCCTCCCCGTCCTCCGGTCGCCCACGGCCCCAGGGGAAAGGCGGCCCGAGGCCCGAGGCCGGCATGCCGCCGGCCGAGCGACGCCCCCTCGCCGTGAATTGGGATTGAGTCGGGCACGTCCCTTTAGCCCTGTGGAGGTCGATTGGATGACGAGGCATGCCGCCAAACGGTTTCCAGATGTCTGAGCATGTCTCAACCATGTTTTAAACATTCAAATGTGTGTGGAACCTGTTTAGAGCATGGTTGACACATGTTAAACACATGTTCCACTCGATGCTAGGATTCTTAGAGTGTCCGTTGTCGTGGCATCCACAACTTTAGCCCAGAGCACCAGCAAGAACTTCGAGCTCCACGAAAGTACCAGAACTGGAGGGTGTCCACGTGCCGAGCCCTGGGAGGCGATACTCGTTCGACATTGCTCCGATGCTCTTCTGGGTGCGCGAAGTCAGTTCTGGGGTGTGGGCCTGAAGCGCGACGGGAGCAGCACAGCCCGAGGCCGGCATGCCGCAGGCCGAGGGACGCCCCCATGGCCGTGGATTGGGATGTGGTCGGGCGTGGCCCCCTGCAGGAGGAGTATTCAAAGATGCTCGAGGAGACTGGTCTGGGGACGATTTTTGTTGGAGTGTTCTGAGGTCTTTTATGACAGTGTTTGGGGTATGTGTTATTTGTCGTCCAAAATCCGCCTGTAGGAGGACACGCCCGACCTAAAATTGGGACGATCGAAGCCCAGACATGATCGCGTCCTAAAAATAGGGAAATATAAAAAGGACAGCGGGTTTTCTGTCGTTCTCGGCCTCGGGGAGCCCTCGCGGGGCCTCGGGACCGTCAAAAAAGGACGGAGGATGAAGATCCGTCCCCAGGAAAGGGTCGGGGCTTCTGGGGACCGCGCATTGAAAAATTCAGGACGTCGCATGTCTGGGAGTGGGAACTCACCGAGCGCGTTCCACATCTCGCAAAGTGCCAATTCGCAAACGTCCGATAAAGACACATGTCTGCATCGTCGTAGTGTATCGCACATCCTCCATGGCGGGTCCAGATCACTTGCGAGTAGTTACTTTACTTTGCGAGTAGTGGAAAGCGCTTGTCTGGGTACGGAAAGAATGGGTACAAATGCCGACGGCATTTCCCATGCATGTCGGACAGGAGTCGCTGCCGGTGTCGCTGCGGACGTTGTCCACACGAGACAGAAGGCCGCCTGCCCAACAGCGGCCGCGGCCGGTTTGGGACAACATGTGTTGTCGGGCAGCGTACCCATAGTTTCTGTACTCGCTTCTGGCGCTCAAAGTGAAGCAACGTCAGAATCCCGACGGTATGAGTGTTGTGGAGCCCGCAGTTTTTCATGAGCTGCCAACCAGCACCCATACTTATGCGACCCGTCGATGTCTCGGGGTGGTGGAGTTCCATGGGGCGTATGGGTGTGCGTTGTCGAATGCGGGTCCCCGTAGGAGCGGGAGCACCCCTTGGGGTCCGACGGCTCGTACCCATACTTATACCCCTTTCATCGCCTTGCCCTTTCCCGTTCCTGGAGGGTTTCTCCAAAAAGCTTAGGCGACCCGTCTTCCTCCCTCCTCCTCCTCCTCCTCCTCCTCCTCCTCCTCCTCCTCCTCCTCCTCCTCCTCCTCCTCCTCCTCCTCTCCTCCTCCCCCTCCTCCTCCTTCCTCCTCCTCCTCCTCCTCGTTCCTCCTCCTCCCCTCCTCCTCCTCCCTCCTCCTCCCTCTCCCCCTCCTCCTCATCTTCCCCCTCCTCCCTCCTCCCCCCCTCCTCCTCCTCCTCCTCCTCCTCCTGCTCCTGCTCCTCCTCCTCCTCCTCCTCCTCCTCCTCCTCCTCCTCCTCCTCCTCCTCCCTATCGGTTGGAGCGCTTGTTGTTCTTTCGCCATTGTTCCCCTGATCTCGGTCCTCGGGGACCGCTGCTGGGCTCTCGGGGACCACCAACAAAAACGGAGCCTGCACAGAGCACTTAACCCACCCGGGAGAGCGGTCAGGACTTCCGGGGCCGCAGACTGAAACCATGTCGGCGGACGTCCCCAGACATGATCGCATCGTAAACAATCAGGGCGGGAGGTTTTTGGCCAGTTTCGGCCTTGGAGGGCCCGCACCGGGCCTCGGGGCCGTCAAAAAACGACTCGGGACGAAAAACCGGTCCCGGGGAAAGGGTCGGGACTTCCAGGGACGCCGTCCTGAAAAATCATGATGTTGCATGCCTGGGTCAGGGTGTGGGTCCTGTTGTTTTCGCCGGTCTCGGCTTCTGAATGCCGTTGATTGGCATCCTGGGCTTGTCCAAAGATTACACCCCTGCGGCAGAAGGCCCCAGCTTTCAACTTTAGTCAGGGAGAGAAGGCATAGACTGAGACGCCTAGAGCGGCCACATTAACGAATACCACAGTATGATAAAATGCAGTATTGTCTATCATGGTGGGTGACCTTGTATGGCATGATATAGTCAAGCGCTTCCTCTATCGTAGGGGATGGGGGCAAATGATAGTAAAGTCTGGTCTAGTACGACAGAGGACCGTCTAGTGTAGAACTAATCGTATGGCCGACTATGTATTTGACTCGACCGGACGAGGATGAAGAAGGGGAGAATGAGGAGAAGGAAGAATACAATTACGGATCCGAAAACTAGATTATGGGAGGCCACGAGAGACCACAGCGAGACCCGGGCCCCCTCCCTGGCGCGCAAAGCGCGCTAGTGGAGTGACGGCGCCGGAGGAGCCGCCAGGGGAGTTCAGCGCAAATCCGAGAAATCTGCGCGGCCCTCTCAGAGGTTGTGTGCTTCTCCCGACGCGTCTCTGCTCAGAGTCGCTGCGCGACAGCAGATGTCGGAGTCCAGGCCCTCCCGCTGTTCCTCGACAAGCTCGTGCCGTCCTGGGTCGCCGTGGTGCTGTCGGTGTCCCTCGTGCTTGTGTTCGGCGAGATCGTGCCCTCCGCGATCTTCACGGGGTCTGCCGCGGGGATTGCTCAAAGACAGAGACACGGAGAGGGACGGAGGGGGGCGATCCTCCTCCTCCTCCTCCTCCTCCTCCTCCTCCTCCTCCCTCCTCCTCCTCCCTCCTCCTCCTCCTCCTCCTCCTCGATATAGATAAATGAATATATATATATATATATATATACACACTAGAACCACGCGCGCGCTTCGCGCGCGCTTAGGTTCTAGGTACGGGGCAAGGAGTACGAGGAGGGGGGCGACGACGACAACGACGACGAGAAGGCAGAGCAGTACAGTCGGGGCGCTGAAGAAGGAACACCCCTTTCGTTGGGGAGGGGCTCGGTGTTCCTTAATTATTTTGCAGTTTGCCTCGGGTTTTCCTGAGTTTCCATGGGAAGTCGAAGTCTGACTTATGAGTCAAAGGGGCCTCGTTCGTGATTTAGGGTTCCTTAGGTCAACGCCCCGACTGTAGGGCGAGGGGTGGGGAGGACCACCCCCGAGCCAGAACCCCGACAATCTGCCAAGTCCTCACAAGACAGCGCAGTCTTAAATGCGCACCCCCCCTCCCGTGGTCTGCAGTACCATGACGAGGACAAGAAGGAGGACCATGACGAGGACACTGAGACGTAGAGGCGGGGGAAGCGGCAGAAGCGGGAGAGCAGGGACAGGCGGGCGAGGTTGGAGAGGGGATGGATAGGAGGGGCAGCAGGGAGGAGTAAGTAAACGTACGGAGAGGGGGAGGATGAGAGAGGCATTCGGAAAGGGTGGAGGGAGGCAGAGAGGGAGCATGAAGCATGGAGAAGGAGGAGTAAGAGGGGGAGGGCGGACACCAGAGGGAGGGGGGGGGAGCGGAACAGTTGAGGGCGGGCGGAGGGAGGGAGGGTGTGAAGTGACGAGGAGAAGGAGGAAGAGATCGTCTTCCCCCATCCGTTCGCGTCGCTGCCTGCTGGAGGTGGGGAGGGCAGGAGACAGAGCAGGGAGAGGAGGAGGCGGTAGAGGGGGGGGGGAGAGCAGGATGGCGAGAACGGCGATGGGTAGAAAGGAGTGATGGGCAGGGAGAGGGGAGAGGGGAATCGTTAGGGGGAGGGCAGTTAGGATTAGGTCGGGCGTGTCCTCCTACAGGTTGATTTTGGAGGAGAAAATTTCACATAGCCAAAACAATTATCAGCCATAGTAAAACATTGAAAATACGTCCCCTGAATATGTCCATGTTTGATAATCCCTCCTGTAGAGGGACACGCCCGACGTAAAGTCAGGACGTACAAGAGAAGAAGGAGGGAGACGTGTCTACAGCTATTCCGTTCTGGTATGTGCGCCGGCTACGGGAGGACGGAAGGGGAGCACACAGAAAGGCAAGGGTTGTCCCGTCCCGTGTCGAAGATGCACCACCGAGGAGGTGTTCGGCTCTTCACGCGCTTGAGTGCTCGTATTGGAGAAGAGTTGCGTCATGAGTGCGTGGGGCATTGCAGTGGTTTGGGCATGAGGTTCTTACTGAGCATCGACGTTTATGACTCGGAGTCGCATCCGTTTTGCTCACAGAGGCAGGGGGCAGCAGGAAGCGAAGCAGCGGGAGAGGAGGATGGCGAATTTTCATGATGGGTTTTAAGATGCCGAAGGTGGATAGGCATTGAGTTCGAGAGCGGCATAGCGATACACATATGTACATAGAGATATATCGGATAAGAAAGAGAGTGAGGGAGAGAGGCACTGAGAGATAGAAAGAGGGAGAACCCCGCAGTCCCTGTCAACAACCATTTGACAGTGATCGCGGCATGGCCGCGCATGATTTAGACTTAGTCGCGAGGTGCATGTTGTATTGTTGTTTTGTCAGGGATGGTGGCTCTGCGCACGGCAGTGAATATGCTGGCACCCCCGCCGTCCCTCTTAAAAAAAAATACGAAGTGGTCGCGGGCCTCACGAGCATGACTCAAGACTTTGCCCCAAAGTGTATTTTGCACTGTTCTTGGACAGGGATGGTGGGGGGGGCCGCATCGGATTGGCCGCGCATGCTCCCAATTTGGAGGCAGCGTGCGGTTTGTATGGTTTTTGTTGACATGGATGGTGGGGGGCGGGCCGTCATGGTGCCCTCATGCATTCCTGGTTGGACGCCGGTGGCCTGGGGGAGGGGGCGTATATATGAATAAGGAACAGTGGTAAACCACTCCACTCCCCCCAGGCAGGGGGAGGAGGGATTCTGGCAGAGAGAAGGCAGTTATCGTTAAGCCACTTACGCCCAGAGGGCTGGTGGGATTGTTCGGTCTTGTCGCCCTGCGGGATTCGGCGCAGGCAGGGCACGAGGGGCACGAGTGCCGAGGACACGGGGCCCGAGCTGGGCCCGACAGCTCGGAGCGGGCCTCGAGGCCGAGCCCCAAGCAGCTGCGCCACCTCCTGGCGGCTGCTCTGCAAGCCCCTGCCTGGCTCCCCGCGTCGATCCTGCTCGGGCCGATTCGATCTCGACGTCGTTGCGGCCCGATGCACCCGATGTTGGCAGGGCGTGTCCGCGCATCCTTGCGCGGGCAAACCAACATCCAGCCCCGACTCCTCGCCGGTGCGTCCCAGTCTGATGCGATTCACGTTCCGATCCGATCAGGGACGGCGGTTCGATGCTGGTGATCCCTGCCCAGCAGCAACCAGCTCGAGTACGCCTCCAAGTTCACCGGGATGGTCAGTTGCTTCCAGCTGGTCCTGTTGCCGATCTCGTGGCCCATAGCGCAGGCGCCCGCAAGCCCACCTGGGCGGGGCGCCGACGTTGAGCTCTCGGGCTGTGTGGTGGTATCGACGTGCAGCCTACTACCGCGCAGTGAAGCGAAGGGGAGGAGGTGGCGGAAGAGGAGGAGGAGGAGGAAGACGGGCCGGAGGGAGGAGGGAGAAGGGGGGAGAACGACTCGACGAGAGGGAGAGGGAGGGAGGGAGGGAGGAAGGGAGGGGGAGGGAGGAGTGGGGAAGAGGAGGTAGGAGGAGGAAGGGAAGGAGGGAGGCGGGCAGTATGAGATGAAAGAGGGAAGATAAGGGGAAGGGTGCGGGAAGAAGATGCCGAAACAGGCAAGGGAGCAGCAGCAGCAGTAGGCGGGCGATAGTGGGAGTGGGGGCGACGGGGAGGGAGCAGCAGGTGGAGAAGGAGGAAAGCGGAGGGGGAGAGGGGGAGGAGGAGGGACCCCCGTTCGGGGCGAGCGCCGCCGCCCGCCTCTGCCCGAGGCGCTGGCCCAAACGTCCTACTTATAGGGCGACAGAAAGAAGAAGGAACAGGACGGGGAGCAATAGCGAGGAGCGAGTGAGCGAGACCGGTCGCAAGGCGGGTCTACACGAAATCAGGGCTCCCAGAGGAGAGGTTGGGAGGAGGAGGAGGAGGAGGAGGAGGAGGAGGAGGAGGAGGAGGACGTGAGAGTGCGCGGGGGTGGGGAGAGGGGTGGATGAGGAAGGAGGGGGCAGGAGGGGGCAGGATCCGTGCGGGAGGAGGAGCAGCAGCAGGACCAGGAGCAAGCAGGAGGAGGACGAGCAGGATTGGACCAGCGGCGGGTGCGGGATCAACGGTTGAGGCAGAAGGAACAGGAGCCAGAGGAGCATGGCATCCATCAATTACGTGGGTCAAGCAGTGGCGAAGCGTCCTAGCGTGCCTATAGCCCTACTAAACAATGTTCTAAGGACCTTTTTGTGGTTTCCACAAAATGTTCCTAATGCGATGGCGGAGTCTGTCTTGTTTCATCACATCGGGTTTATGTTCTAAGAGCATTGTTTTCGTTCTCAGAACATTTTGGGGTTCTAAGAACATTTCGTGGTAGGACTATAGGATTGCCGGGACGGTCGGTCCCTGCTCAAGTGAAGATAGAAGAGGGAGGAGCAATCACATGTTTATTGCTGGCTCCTCGTCCTCTTCCCCCAACGGAGCCACATGCCGGACATAAGCCCTTCCGATATGATTGCGCGCAGCAGCATCGGTTTAAGTCGGGCCTGTCCCTCTACAGGAGGAATATTCAAAAATAGTAAAACAATCATGGGACGATGTTTTAAGCATGTTATGTTTATGTTGGGGTATTGTTTGGCTATTTTTTATTGTTCGTCCAAAATCCCCCTGTAGGGGGACACGCCCGACAGAAGCATCGGTTCACGCATCCTAGATGCATTTCAGAGAACCGAATCTCACAGCGCACAACTGCTGCACACGAAGGCGGGGCCTGGCCACCAGGATGGTCTTATGGACCCGCTGTCTCGCGATGGCAGTCACGTGAACACACGTCCAGCAACACATTCGCTACCCGACCCTCGAGAAACAGGAGGAGGAGGAGGTCGAGGAAGGAGAACACAAAACGTGTTTCCCACCCTTCCTGTGTTGAGCTGAGGTCTTGAGAAGTGCATTGTGGTCTCAGAGGGTCACATCCTCCTCCTCATTCTCCTCATCCTCCTCATCCTCCTCATCCTCCTCCTACCTCCTGTATGCTGCTTGGTTCCCAACCCGCCTGTGTGCTGGGCTCTCGTTTTGAATGGGGCACTGCTCGTGTTTCTCCCTCCCCCTCCCTTCCTCCGCCTACCGCTTGCTGCATGCGTCCTCCTGCATATTGTGTATCCACTTGAGGGCCGCAAACTGCGCAATCGTCGCCACTTCCGTGGTCTCCTGGGAGGCACGGAGGAGGTGAGGGCAGCGGGGATCATGTTGAGACCTCGCGGCCCCGTCGGGGGCTGCGAGGTGTCCAATTGTCACCACCTTCGTGGGCTCTTGTGAGGACCCACCACCTTCGAAGGTGAGGACAGCGGGGATCCACCGAGACCTCGCGGTTCCGTCGGGGGCTGCAAAGTGCCCAACCGTCGCCACGTTCGTGGGCTCCTGGGAGGCACGGCGGAGTGCAGGGCAGCGCAGATCGCTGGTATCTGGCGATGTGTGTCTGTGTATTTCGCGTGGGGAAGGGGTTGGGCACGTCTCGGCAAGGACCGACCACAACGCTGTTAAGCTTGATTTGGGCCGTTGTCTTTGTTTCGTTTATTGTTTTGTTGTTGTTTCGTTTCGTTGTTCGTTGTTGCTTTAAACGCCCCGTGTCGCCGTGCGTGTTCGTTTGGCGCTGGCTTCGTTTTAAACGTTCGTTTTAAACGTCGGGCCTCGTTAGGTGTTTCGTTGTAAACGCCAGTTCGTTTTAAACATCGTCGTGGTCGGTCCCTGCGCCTCGGGTAATGTTACCATCGCGGGGGGGGGGGGCCCTCGGCAAACGGGCAAGTTTACCATCGAGTCGGGGCCCAGCGGCAAAGCGCAAGGACGACCGACGACGGCGACGAGGCCCGTCGATAAACAGGATAGAACAGGATACCTCGGGTCCTGCTTCTACCGTGCAGAAGGGGCTTGTCATTGCCCAGGGGCTCTCCTCCTCCACCACCTCCACCACCTCCTCCTCCTCCTGCTCCGATGCACGGACGAGATTCAATCTGCCCTGTGCGGTGGCTCGGTGGCCACTGCTCTCGCTCCTCCCGGAGCCCTGCCAACGCTGCTGGAAGCAGCAGGCACACACCTCTGCAGAACGCAGAGCTTGGTCGGACAACGACAACGAGCTGGTGCTGGCTTCTCCGTGCCAGCTCTGCCCTGAGAGCCGCGTCCTGGCCCTCAGTTTGCCCTCCCGACTGGGGAGGTGGGAGGGGGAGGATGCGAGAGAGGAGGAGGAGGAGGAGGAGGAGGAGGAGGAGGAGGAGGAGGAGGAGGAGGTGAGGAGTTGGAGGAGGAGGAGGAGGAGGAGGAGAAGGAGGAGGAGAGAGGGAGCGGGAGCGGGAGGGAGGGAGGGAGGAGAAAGGGATACGTAGAGGGAGGGGGGAGGGGGCGGACGAGGACGGAGGGAGGAGGGAGGGAGTTAGGGTGAGGGGTTCAGAATCGGATTCAGAATGTGAGATCATGACCCGATGGGCTGCGACCGCCCCGCCGCGAGCGCCACCATTTCGAAGGCCCTGTGGGTCAGCGCAGCTGGGCCCAGCGGGCCAGCACGCTCGAGACCCGCCAGTCTGCACGTCCAGGCCTCCGATAAAAGGAGGGAGGATGGGGAGGGAGGCGCGTGAGGAGGAGCAGCAGCAGCAGGAGGAGGAGGAGGAGGAGGAGGAGAAGGAGGGAGAGAGGGGAGAGGATGAGAGAGGATGAGAGGGAGGACATCGTCTGCTCTCGCGCCCGGCCCGGCGCCCCCGCCAGGTGCTCGACCGCGTGCTCGGCACGGACCAGCCCCCGCCCTCCCTCCGCCACGGCGGCGTCGTCCGTACCGCGGGCGTCGGGGGACCATTATTTTTGTTCGCGCCTTGCGCCCTGCAGCAGCCCTCACTAACCTCCCCTACTGACTCCTCTCATTGGCTTTCTCCCCCCACCGACTCCTCTCACTGGTTCCGCCTTCCTTCGCCTCAGAATCATCCTCCTTCCCCCCCCTCATCCCTCCTCAGCGACGCCGCGTGTCCTCCCTCCCTCCGCCTCATCCATACCTCATTCCCTCCTCACGTCATCCCCGCCCTCCTTCCTCCTTCTCGCCCTCCTCGGCGGCACCGTGCCCCCGCCCGCAAGGAACACAAGCAGGAGACCCGCTTCTCCCGGCTGAGGGCGATGATAAAGAATGCGGGCCAGGAGCTCTCGCGCTCCCGGGGTCGCATCCGCCTCCCTGATATCTTCCTCAGTCGTCATCTTCAATCGTCATCTTCTGTCTCCCTCCACGTATCCTGCTCGCTCTCCTCTCCCATCGTTCACCTCTCTCTTCGTCCTCCCCCTCCTCCTCCTCCTCCTCCTCCTCCTCCTCTTCCTCCTCCTCTTCGTCCTCGTCGTCGTCACCCTCCTCCTTTTCATCCTCCCCTTCCTCCTTCTCCTTGTCCACCTCCTTATCCTCCTCCTCCTCCTCCTCCTGCTCCTCCTCCTCCTCCTCCCCCTCCTCCTCCTCCTCCTCCTGCTCCTCCGATTACCCCTCCTCCTCGTCCTCCTCTTCCTTCTCCTCCTCCTCTTCCTCCTCCTCCTCCTCCTCCTCCTCCTCCTCCTCCTCCTCCTCCTCCTCACCCTCATCCTCATCCTCATCCTTTTCCTCTTCCTCCTCCTCCTTCTCCTCCTCCTCCTCCTACCACTCCTCCTTCTTCTCCTCTTCGGGGTGTCGGGCCAAAGTGCCCCCTGTTGCAGGCGGGGAGCACCGGGGCTTTCGCGGCCCAAGCCCCCGCACCCGGGCTTTCCTTCCCGGGGGGCAGCCAGGTCCCGTGGCCCCCCCCCAGGGCGGTGCGGGAGCTCACTCCCCGCCCTCGCCGACTTGGGGCGGGACTGGCGGTCCTTTTTCTCTGTCGCGTCGTCGTCGTTGCCGCGGTGGTCGGGTTTGGTGAGCGCGCCGCTGGAGGTCCTCAGCAGCTCGACTGTCGCGGCTTGCGTTTTTCCCTGTTCCGCTCGGTCGGCCCGTGTGCGCGGGGCGCCGCGGGGCCCCTGGGCGGCCAATGCGCCGCCCAAGGCCCCGCGTGCGCCAACGTGGTGGCTTGAGCGTGCTATGAGCATGCCGCGGAAGCCGTGGCGCTCCAAGAAAATCTTTCTCCTCCTCCTCCTCCGCTTCCTCCTCCTCCTCCTCCTAAATCCCGTCCTCCTCCTCCTAATCCCCTCCTCCTTCTCCCCCTCCTCCGCCTCCTCCCCCTCCAGCTCCTTCTCCTCCCCCTCCTCCTTCTCCTCCTCCTCATCATTCTCCGCCCCCTTCACCCCCCTTCTCCTTGCCCCGTCTTTTCCTCCTCCTCGCCCTCCTCCTCCTCATCATCATCGCCATCATCATCAGCATCAGCATTATTATCAGATTGATCACCTCCTCTCTTTCCTCCTGCTCCCCCTCCTCATCCTTCTCCTCCTCGTCCCCTCCTCCTCCTCCTCCTCCTCATCATCAACCTCGTCCTCATCCTCATCCTCGTTTATTCCCTCATTTCCTCTTCCTCCACGCCCTCCTCTTTCTCCTCCCCCTCCCCCTCCCCCTCCTCCTCCTCCCTCCTCCTCTCCTCCTCCTCCTCCTCCTCCTTCCCCCTCCCCCTCCTCATCCTCATCCTCCTCATCCTCGCCTGCATCCTCATCCTCACCTTTGTCCTTCTCTACCTCTTCCTCCTCCTCCTCCTCATCTTCCCCCTCCTCTTCCTCTTTCTCTCCTCCTCCCCTCCTCCTCCTCTCCTCCTCCTCCTCCCCCTCCTCATGCCCACTAGCGCCCTCGCCCCCCCCCCCCCCCCCTCCTCCAGCATGGCGAAGGGGGCGAGTGAGTCCGAGGGGAACGCGCGGAGCAAGAGGACGAGGACGCGCACGAGCACGAGCCAGGAGGCCGCCCGCCGCCGCCGCCGCCCCCAACCCGCTCGGGGAGGCTGGCGGCCAAGTGATGCTGGAGAAGGCTGCAGACGGCCAGGACGGCCGCCAGGAGGAGCAGGAAGGGAGGAGAAGGAGGAGGAGGAAAAGGAGGAGGGAGGAGGAGGAGGAGGAGGAGGAGGAGGAGGAGGAGGAGGAAGAGGAGGAGGAGGAGGAGGAGGAGGAGGAGGAGGAGGAGGAGGAGGACGAGGAGGAAGGAGGAGGAGGAAGGGAGGAAGGAGGAGAGGAGGGAGGGAGGAAGGGAGGAGGAGGAGGAGAGGAGGAGGAGGAGAGGAGGGGGAGGAGGAGGAGGAGGAGGAGGAGGAGGAGGAGGAGGAGGAGGAGCAGGAGGATGCTGCGGATGGCCAGGACGGCCGCTGGAAGGAGCAGGAAGGGAGAAAGAGGAGGAGGCGGAGGAGGAAGAGGAGGAGGAGGAGGAGGAAGAGGAGGAGGAGGAGGAGGAGGAGGACGACGACGAGGACGAGGAGGCCGACGCCAGCCAGCCCATTCGGCGTCGCCGCCGCCACGGTCGCCGCGGCCGCCGTTGCGCTCTCGGGGGGTTGTCGGCGGCGTCGTCGGCGGCGGCGTCGTCGGCGGGGTCGTCGGCGAGGGGCGTTGTCGTCATCGGCCGCCGCGTCGCCGCTGCCTCCGCGCCAGAGGGGCAGCGGGGCCTACCCGTCTTTCGCCTGCTTTCGGGCGCCTTTGGGGGGCCCCCTCTGGCTTTCCAGAGGTCCGCCTCCCTCGCCCCCGCACCTCTTTGGAGCCACTCGGGCCTGTGGACTCAGGGGCAATGTGACGGGAGGATCACTCAAGGGGGGGGACGCATCGGCCCCCAATGGCCCGCTGATCGCCGATCGGGGCCCGATAGCCCACCCCGCCCAGGAACGTGCGGATTCGCTACTGGGGGCTCATCGTTGATCCATCGGCAATAGATCGCCGATGCCAGGTCGATGTGCCCCCATGTAACAGTCCCCCCCCTTGAAGTTTTTCCATCATGGACCCTGGCGACCGCTCGCGAGGAGCTCTTCGCCATGGCGCTTCACTCCAACGGGAGATCGTTTTCTCTTCCAAGGGCCTGTCTCTTCCCTACGACCCCAGCTAACTTGTCCCGACCGCCGCGCTGGATTATCCCCTTCTGGTTGATCATCTCGTTGCACGGCCACGGAGCTGGACGCTGCGCGCCGCCGTCGTTCACTGCTGGCCTCCCCCTCTTCCTCGTGCAACGAGGTTGGCGACGAATCGCGAAACTCGCCTGGCCGTCGCCATTGTCATGGGTCTCCACGCCATGGAGGTCTACCAGAACGTCGATAAAAAAAACGCTCTTTGTCGCCCGCTGCGCTCCCCGCCATCCGCTCGTTGCCGCTGGGCTCGGAGAATGGCGTCACTGCCGCTGGCCACAGAGAGCAGGGGCCCTGCTCGGACGGGGCCAGGACGCGGATGAGCTCGTTCCAGAGCGTTCGGGAACGCTCTTGGAGCGTTCTGGAACGCCCTGGGAAGGCCGCGGCGCCCGAGACATCCTCCGGAGCCGCTGGATCTCAGAGGTTTTCGATTTGTCCTCGCCCGAAGGTGTGCTCGTCGTGGCGTCGTCTTACCTGCGCTTCTTTCCTCTCCCATGTCGCCTCGTCGTCGTCCTCCGAATATTGTGGGCCGGCGCGGGGTTACATCCCTTGCGCGCTCGTCCTCTGCCCGCCCCCTCAGGGGCGACGCGCGCGCCGAGAAGTCTAATAGTATAAGCTCGGTGGCGGGCGCGTTCTGGCCATGCCGCTCGGGAGCGACCTACTACAAGATGTTTGTACTATATGTTCGGGGCGGACGCACGCCTCGAAGGAGGACATATAGTACCTATACGACCACCCTTCGGGTGATAAGGAGGTTCAGAGGGGGGGAGGAACCAACGTCTCACACGATCTGTCTTACTGTCGATCTCACTATCGGTCTCGCTCGATCGATCTCACTCGATCGATCTCACAATCGATCTCACTCGATCTATTTCATTCGATCGATCTCACAATCGATCTGACTATCGATCTCACAATCGATATCACAATCGATCTCACTATCGGTCTCACAATATATCTCACAGTCGGTCTCACTAGCGATCTCAGGATCGATATCACAATCGATCTCACAATCAACGTCATCATCGTCATCAGCAGCACCATCGTCATCAACTTCATCAACATCGTCATCATCATCTTCGTCATCGGGACACCATCATGATCACCTCATAGCCATCATCAACATCATCATCACCATCATCATCACCTGGACACCATCATTGCCACCATCATCATCAACATCAGCATCGGCACACCATCATCATCACCAGAACACCACTATCATCATATCCTCATCATCAGCATCATCATGAACAACATCATCAACATCCTCATCATCATCGGGACACCATCATCATCATCAGCAGCAATATCATCACCATCATCATCAAAATCAACATCATCGGGACACCATCATCATCGTCACCATCACCATCATCATCACCATCATCATCGGGACACCATCATCATCATCATCATCAACATCAGCATCATCATCATCGGCCTCATTATCAACCTCATCATCAGCATCATCATCATCGGGACATCAGCATCGTCATCATCATCCTCATCGGGACACCATCATTATCATCACCATCATCTCCATCTACCGCATCAGCATCAACCTCATCATCATCATCGGGACACCCTCATCATCACATCTCCATCATCATCTCATCTTATCGACATCATCAACATCATCATGGTCATCAACATCACCATCATCGGGACACCATCATCATCATCATCATCAGCAGCAACATCAGCATCATCAACATCGTCATCATCGGGACACCATCATCATTACCACCATGGCCATCATCATTTTCAGCATCATCACCATCATCATCATCATCATCGGGACACCATCATCGTTACCATCAGAATCACCAACATCACCATCTTCGGGACACCATCCTCATCATCATCGGAACACCACCACCATCATCATCATCATCACCATCTCATCATCATCATCATGAACAGCATCATCAACATCACCATCGGGACACCATCATCATCATCATCATCATCATTATCATCATCAGTATCATCATCATCATCATCATCATCATCCGCAACCTCATCATCACCAATATCATCATCATCATCGGGACACCATCGTCACCATCTCCATCATCATCATCATTTGGACACTATCATCACCATTAACATCAGCATCATTCATCATCGGGACACCATCATCGAAAATCATCATCCGCACCTCATCATCATCCTCATCATAAACAGCATCAGCATCGGGACGCCATCATCGTCATCACCATCAGCATCATCAACATCATCATCATCGGTACACCATCATCATCACCATCATCACCATCAACAGCCATCATCAACCTCATCATCATCACCATCACCATCGTGGCACCAACATCATCATGTTCAGCATCATCATCACCATCATCCCATCATCTCATCATCATCAACATCATCAGGATCATCAACCTCATTATCATCGGGACACCATCATCATCATCAGCAACATCAGGATTATCAACATCACAACACGAAACCGAAACCGATTTCCCAGTAGGGGGGCTCTCCGTTCCACTTCGATCTCACCCCCTCACCTCCGACTAGTATGTCCTTTCTGCGTTCCACAGAAGGATGCAGGGAGGAGCACGAGGCGAATGACAAAAGGGGAGAATGAGGCAGTCAGGAGTTAGTACGGTCGGGCGACGAAATCTATACGTATACACTGCTCCGTGGCCATGTCCATCCTGAACCCAGGAGCTGTGTATACGCCCTCCTGACCAAGCCAGGAGGGCGTAGCGTATACACCGCTGCTGGGTTCAGGATGGGCCTGGCCAGGGAGTAGTGGATATGTAGATATTCGGTCGCCCTATTCGACAGCCTATATCACGCGGGGCGCCTCGAGGACAATACCCTCACTACTGCTTTGCACACCTCGCGCCACACTCGCTGACGCTCTGGCTATCGACTGACGCTTGCAACCGGCGCCCTGATGTTACATATTGTTGCGGTATCGGGCATGAGGGGGATGAGGAGGAGTGTGAGGAGAAGGAGGAGGAGGAGGGGGATGGAGGAGGAGGGGGAGGAGAAGGAGGAGGAGGAGGGGGATGGAGGAGGAGGAGGAAGACGAGGAGGAGGCAACCCCGAGAAGAGGATTTCGCATTCGTTGTGTGCCGATTTCGCATGCGTTGTGTGCCGCAGCCCGTCGTGCTGCCTGCGTGCAGTCTGCGTCTGCTCTGTCCCCGCCTTCCTCCGCGCCTGTTGCGGGGCCGCTGTCCTCACGCATTCTCCGGGGGTTGCTAAAGGTGCCCCTGGCCCAAGGTGCCCCCAGCTTTGCGCTCGATGTTGAAGGTCCTGGGCCCCCCGGGGCTCCGTGAGGGGTGCTCTGGAGGCCGTGGGGCCCTCCCTGGAAATCCTGGGGGCACCTTGGGCCTGGGGCACTTCGAGCAGCACCTGAATTTCTGGCATGGGAAAGGGAAAATGTATCCCCATGCCTGTGTGGTTGGCATCGCCTCACCTCGATGCCGATCCGAAGGATTCCCTCGGTTTCTGAGGGCACGTCCCTAAGATTGTCTTCGCTTGTTGCTCGCCCCTCTCAGGGATACGGAGAAAAGTTCGAGGCCGGTGAGCTGCGGCCTCCTGGCCTGCTGCCGCGACCTAGCCCCCTCTGCCCTTCGCTCGTCGACCGCCCCCTTCTCTCGGGGGGGCCCCAAACGGTGTGGTGACCACACCGTGTGGTGAGTCGATGGGGATTCGGGGTCACCACACTCCTCCTCCTCCTCCTCCTCCTCCTCCTCCTCCTCCTCCTTTGACGCTGCTCAGCCCGCATTTTTCGGCATGCTGCGCCCATGCATTTTTTCGATCTCATCTTATTGTTTCAGAAGAGTTGTCGACACGCATTTGGCGCGTCGTGGCCTCCTCGTTTGGAGTTGGCTGTGGTGGACGATCGACGGCTCTCGTGCTCTTTGCGGGAAGGCTTTGTGTCGAACTGGTCACCACACTGTTTGGGACTCGGGTCGTTCTCCGAGGACGTCTCGGGAGACAGGGGCCTCCAGGGTCCCAAGACCGCGCGGTTGCGGACCGTGCGGTCAGGTTTTGGAGGGATTTCGAGGCCACCGCACGGTGTGTCACCGCACCGTTTCGGGACTCCAAATTCTCTGAGCGAGGACAGAGGCTACTCTGAAGTCGGGCATGTCCCTCTACAGTAGGAATTTTCCAAAATAGTCAAACATAGTCAGGGGGACTATTCTTCTACTACTTCTGGCAGCTTTTGGTTATGTTTCTCCTGTTTATAGCTTCTCCCTCAAAATCCGCCTGTGGGAGGATACGCCCGACCTAAGGCTACTCCCCCATTCTTCGCCCCCACCGTCGCGGGCCGCTCCCCCCAAACACCCCAGACTCCGAGGAGGAAGAGGTGCGCACACCCTTCGCCCGTTCTCCCCTTTGTCAGCCTTCCTGGGAGGCCCTCGCCGCCACCGCTGGATTCGCCTCGAAATCCTGGTCAGAGCGCACCCCGAGAGAGAGGTCCGGGGAGTAGCGGCATCGGTACATTTTGGTTCCCTGGTCCCCCCACAAACATGAAGTGGGGCATTTCCCTCGACAGGAGGAATATGCACGATTGGTCAAACATAGTCGTGGGACGATCTTGCGACTATGTTTAATAATTGGCATGTATGTTTCGACTATGTTTGTGTCATTCCAAATCCCCCTGTAGGGTGACATGCCCGACTAACTCCGTAGACGCGCTGACGGCGATGCAGGTAACGGCGATGTAGGTTTCGGTTTTGTGGGAACGCGCGGCTTGTGCTTTCCTACACTTCGCTGGTCGTTTCCGTTCGATACATACGCAGATCGGAGATGTAGGAAAGTGTGGTTCGTGATTTCCTGCAGCTCGGTTTCCAGCATCACCGTTAGGCAACATCGCCGTTAGCGTGGCCCTCGCAATTTCTGATTTGTCATACAACATCCGCCTGTAGGGGGACATGTCCGACCTAACACAACCTCGCCACCCACCAAACCACCCCAACCCAACCCGAAGGCTTCAGCTTGCCCTCCGTTTCCAATGGGGGGAGGTCGGGACGACGCGAGGTTCTCGCCGGTCTCGGCCTCTGGGGGGGGGGGGGGGCGGTCGCCCTGGCCTCCCAGAGGCCGCCCAGGAGTACAGTCGAGACGGCCCCGGCTGGAGGGTTTCTCCGAAGGGCTTAGGCGACCCGCCCTCCTCTTGCTCCCGCTCCACCTCCTCCCCCTCCTGCTCCTGCTCCTGCTCCTGCTCCTCCTCCTCCTCCTCCTCCTCCTCCTCCTCCTCCTCCTCCTCCTCCTCCTGACTCCTCCTCCTGACTCCTCCTCCTGACTCCTCCTGCTCCTCCTCCTTCTCCTCCCCCTCCTTCTCCTCCTCCTCCTCCTCCTGACTCCTCCTCCTCCTCCTCCTGACTGCTCCTCCTGACTCCTCCTCCTCCTCCTCCCACTCCTCCTCCTCCTCCTCCTCCTCCTCCTCCTCCTCCTCCTCCTCCTCCTCCTCCTCCTGACTCCTCCTGACTCCTCCTGCTGCTGCCGCGACCCCAGCACCCGTCCACCTTCAGGACGGGTGTCCACTGGCGTCAGGCGTGTGAGGATAGTCTATGCGCGCCAGGCCGATCAAATTAACCACAGTGCTCTCAAAAAAACCCTCTCTACTGTTTTTTTCTCGACGCGCAGCGGGGAGGTGTGAGCCACCGGACCCCCACCTTAGGCGCTCACGTGCCCGCCGGAGGCAAGGAGCGGGGGAGAAGAGGGGAAGGGAGGGGGACGGGAGGACAAAAAAGGCTCGGTGGCACTGCAGTCAGGCGGGGCCCCGGCGAAGGGAGAGCGGAGAGGAGGGAGGAAGACGAGCGGGCCCAAGAGTTAGGGGATCAGGGGCGCCGCAGACGCCAACAGTTCGACGTTGGCGCGCTGCAGCGTTGCCGCCAAGCGCTGGTAGCAGGCGTCGATGGCAATCGACCTGTTGCGCTCATCGAAACCATAGGCGAGGCCCTTGACGACGCTCTGACAGCCACCGCCGAGCCGGCCTAAGTGTGACATGGCCACAGGCATGAGGCTCAATGTGTGGTATTTCCGTCTCTTGGAGCTTTCCTCTCGCTCAATCAGAGCGCCCTGACGGTGCAAGGCTGCGCTGCCCGGGAGGGCCCGCGTGTGCGGGGTAACGACAGCTATGTCCAAGTACTGGCGGACGCGGTGTTTTGTCGTAGTAGTCGACGTCGGGGCGCCGATTGTCTGGCAACTCTCCAGGCGGACGCTGCTCGGTGCGTGCGGGTATGCCCAACATTTCGGCCAGCATGTTTGCAGACAGGTCCCAGACGGCGTCGTGTCTGCGGACAACGAAAGCGCCCCTCTTGCACAGTAGGCTGTGCAACCCTTTGGTGTCCACCACTTGGTTGCAAACCTGGTAGCCCGCGTTCCTCCCCGCCTTGTGCGCGCAGTGCAGCTCGTGACCATGGTGTCGCAGGTGCACGTCCAGATCCATCCGCAGACGGGTGCTGGTGACGAATTCCTGATCCGTCAGACAATGGCCCCGCCTCGTGGGGACGGCCATCCACGAGCCGTTGCCGCCAGACTCCCGCATCGAAGTGACGTACTGTTCCGTGGCACCGCTGCGAATATTCAAGCTGATGCGAGAAACCACTTCGGAATGCCAGATGGACGCGGAACTTGGAGAGGCAGAGTGCAGAACGTCGTCGAGCGCGGCCGGGAGATTGACGCCCTGCGAGCCCATCTCCCCGACGACCGTCTCAAGGCACGTTCGCAAAGCAAGTGCCTTGGTCAAGAGCACCGCCGCGCTGGGGAGCCCCATGGTGGCCGCGTTCTCCGGCAGGTCCCGGAGCCAGGAGGCGACGAAGTTGGACCGAGAATTGGCGCACGCGCTGGCCAGGCCATAGCCGCCCTCCTTCCATGGAAGAAACCACCCCAGGAGGTCGAAAATCCCATCAAGCAACACTCGCCCCAAGTCGAGCATGTTGCCGTTCGGTGGCGGCTGGCACTGCTGCTCCTCCCCCTCCTCCTCCTGACTCGTCGTCCTCGTCCTCCTCCTCCTCATCCTCGCCCTCCCCTCCTCGGGTCGCCTACGGCCCCGGGGGAAACCGTTTATCCCCGGCCTGCAGGTGCCGAGCCCGATCCGCGATTCCAAACTCTCACCGAGCGCATCCCACCACTCGCAAAGTACCTGCTCGCAAACGTCAGAGAAAAAACTGTTCTTCGTCGATGTAATGTATCGTCGGGCTCCCTGTCTCCCTTGGCGTATCCAGGCCATGTGTGAGCAGTGACTTTGCGAGTACCGGAACGCGCTTGTCTACAGTCAATCCGACTCCGCACCGATGCATGCGCGATTCGATCCGTTTCCGATTTGACCCGCGTTGTCGCCCGAGGGGCCCATGGTTTATGATGTTCCAGCTTATTTTAGCCTGAATCACCAGAAAGAGTGTCGAGCACCAAGAGAGCTACCGAAACTGAAGGGTGTTCACGTGTCGGGCTCTGGGAGGCGAGACTCGCTCGACATTGTTTCGATACCTTTTTTTCGGGGTGCTCAAACTTGTTTGTGTGGGACTTGGTCCTCAAGTGCGATGGGAGCAGCATACAGTCGGCCTGGATTAGTAGGTCGACCCTGCCAAATCAAGGGTGCCTGTGTGACCTGTGTCTCGCGACCCATGCCTCCTGCATTCCGGTGGCAATGTGGCCCTCGGAAGGGTCTTGTGTCCTCTCGCGTGTCCTGTCCAATCAAGGCCGACTGTAACCCTCGGCGCCTTTCAACGGGGTCGGGGGGGCAGTCTCAGAGAAGGCCGCCCCATTCCGCCCTGCCCGTTTTGGCGCGCCGCCGCGGGCCACTTCGGCCCCGTCTCGACCCTTCGGCCCTGCCTTGTTCCCTCGGCCCTGCCGCGGCTCCTCGCCTGCGGCTCCGTCTCGACTCCTCGGCCCTGTCGTCGTCGTCGTCGCCAGGACCTCGGCATGTTCACCTCCAGCAAGGAGCACAACTTCACGGACGAGAGCATCGTGGTGTACAGGGGCAAGGGCGTGGAAGGCCGCGGGGGGGGGGGGGGCCCGCGAGGGTCGCCGCTGGGAGGAGGGCCAAGGCCAGACAGCGGCGGCCCTCCATGGCTCTTTCCGTCGTTTTGGAGGCCTCCTGGGCGCTGCTCCTCTCCGTGTGCTTCTCGCGCGCGAGGCCCCGGCGGTAGCCCTTCTCCTCGCGGCTGCGGCGCTTCTCCTGGAGGGAAAGAAACCCGTCCTCTTCCTCGTCTTCCTCCTCCTCCTCCTCCTTCTCCTTCTCCTCCTCCTCCCCAGGGAAAGGAACCCGTCCTCCTCCTCCTCCTCCTCCTCCTCCTCCTCCTCCTCCGCCTCCTCCTCCCCAGGGCGGGCCCGGGTCGCGGGCCGAGCAGCAGGCAGGCAGGCAGGCCTATGCGATCGAGCCAACGCTCGGCCCGGAATCGGGCGCGGTGGCGATGCCGCGCGAGCGCCGCTGGAGGAGCCCGTCCGAAAACAAACCGAAGATTGCTCCGTCCTCGGCAGTCTCCGCTGTCCCACGGATCGATCCAGCCCAAGAAGTCCGGCTTAACTGGAAGCTCGAGAGCTCTGGCCGTGAGTGATTGCGTCGACGCCGCTGTGCTCCGCGACGTCGAGTCGCGGGGTTCTTGTTCCTTCCGCCCCACTTCCTTTCACGATGCTGCCCTTCTCCCCGTGCTCCATTCTGCCCGCCTTTTTGCCAGAGGACGTGTCCAGCGATTGGATGAGCAATCGAACATGACATCGCACGATTCGAAGGGTCACTATGTATCTAGCTCGTGTCTCCATCACCGAGCTTTCGATCTCGCCACGGCGGTGGCACGCTATTGTTAGCAGAAGGTGAAGCCGGTGTTGACCAAGATGAGGATCGAGGGTTGCATCAAGGGCAATAACAGTGGGGAAGTCTTCCGTCGTCCGCCATAGATCATCTTTCCTCCCACGTCATTTTCACCCTCCACGTTCTCCGCGTTCGCCTCGTCATCCCAATTATCCGTCCTCACCATCATCATCATCATCATCATCATCATCATCATGATCATGATCATCATCATCATCATCATCCTCATCATCATCATCATCATCATCTTGATGATTATGATGATGATGATGAGGAGGAGGAGGAGGAGGACAAGCTGATCATCATCATCATCAGCATCATCATCACCATCATCATCATCATCAGCATCCTGACCATTATCCGTCCTCATCATCATCATCATCATCATCATCATCATCATCATCATCCATGCTCCACATTTTTCTCATGAAGACAGCATGGCGAACTGCATTGCAGAGCCAAGAGCTTGGCGCAGATTTGTTGTCGATTCTATTCATGTCTCCTCTCCTTGCCCTCCCCCTCGGCCTCGTTGCACGCACGATGCAGTCTAAAAGGGCTATTCTGCACTCCGCCGCTCCCGCAAAGCGGTGAGACCAGGCTGGCGCTGCATGCTTTTTCTGCCCACGCGCTCCGGCGTATGGCATGTCTGTCTGTCTGCCGATCATTATTATCCCAGTCCGCCTTTCCTTTCTACTCGTCATCCTCGTCATCTCTCAACCCTCGTCCTTATCCTCCACGTTCTTCCTCCCCCTTCTTCTCCTTCTCGTCCTCCTTATCCACCTCATTGCCCTCCTCGCCACCCTTATTCTTGTCCCCCCTTATCCCTTTCCCCATGGTTCTCCCGCCTCCCTGGCGGGCGCACGGGCGGCCTTGAGCGCGCGCGCGCGCGCTGCCGCCAGGCAAGCTGCAGGACGGCCAGAAGTGCTTCGTGAAGCCGTGCTGCGACATCCACGGGCCCAAACCTCTCTCTGTGGGGGGAGTCTCAAACATCCGGCGGCTCGACGAGCATCCAGGCGGACAGGTGTTCTACGGTTTTGGCATTCGGAGGCCATGTTTCGGGCCCCGGGGCCGTGCAACAAAAATGAAGCATTCGACGATGAGATCCCCGGTATGAGCAGATCTTTATTTTGCACATTGGTCGGATCACACTTTGGTCGCTGACGTGATATCATGTGGTTGCGGAAGGAGACACGTATACGTCCCTCTGTTCGAGAGACACTTTTTGGACACGAACGGGCGTCCAGAACCGCAAACTGGCGTTTCGCCTAATGCACACCCACGAACTGGGCGCGAACGCGCCCGTGCAACACCCTTGATTGGCTCCCCCTGGGCGGCTACGTGCATTGCGGTGACCATGTTGCTATGGATGGAGACGCGTCCCTCCGTAGCCATTTTGGCTCAAGTTCCAACGTGGCTCCCGGCGTTGGAGCTTGAATCACAGCCAAGGGGGCGGCTCAAGGCCCCCGCGCAACCAATCAGCTTTCACGAACTGTGCTCACCTCAGTCGCCGCCAGGCTGGTGAGCACGCTTTCTGGCAACACGACTCCCCGCGGGGACCGAGCATGGCTCCTCCTGCGTCGCGTGGGGCTGTGCGGAGGATGGCATGGGCATCGCAGTGGAACTGCAAATGGTGCACGGGCAAGGCGGGCGCTCGCTGGTGGAATGCGGCCACAGCATCGGCTTGTACCCAGTGCGGATGCAGCAAAGACATGGCCTTCCATTCGGTCCGTCAGCTGTCAGAGGCGCCGAGCACCAGTGCCAAGAAGCCGCCAAGCCCTTCGCACCGTGAGAGAATGCTCGAGAAGAAGCTGGCCGACCTTCAACGACAGCTGGCAGCCAAGCAGCAGGCCCCAGTGGCCCCTGATGCAGCAGATGGTAATGCCATGCAAGTTGATGCGGGTGATCGGCTCGCGAACGAGAACGCCAAGTGGAAAGAGGAGCTGGCCCAGGCAGAGGCCATGCTCAAGGCGATACCCAAGGAGCCCAGCACGGAGTTCGGCAAGGAGCAGAAGTTTCACTTGGAAAGGCACCGCGACGCGTGCAAGTCCAAGTTGCGAGCTGCTCAGCCCTTCGAATGGAGGGCGCATGATGTGGTCAACCAGAAGAAGCAGCTTGAGGAGAAGCGTATCCGTCTCGAAGGGGTGCGTGCTCAGGCTCAGAGTCGTCTCGAGGAGGCGACCAAGGCGTTGGCCGACGCCGACCAAGCGTTGCAGCTCACACTGGAACAGATCACTGAGAAGGAGGAGGAGATCAAGCAGGTGCTCAAGGAGCAGCCGCTGTAGCCCAAGCAGAAGGATCTCAGCGCCACCATTGAGTCCATGGGAACCTCCGTCGAGGCGCTTGGGACCATGCTTAAGGCGAGAGGCCTTGAGCAATCCGACGCTGACATCTTGGGGGGCAAGCTCCGTGAATGCATGGACATGCTCAAGCTGGCCGAGAAGAAGCTCAGCCAGCCGCCCGAGGTCCTGCCAGAGGCCAACGGTGCAGCTGCCCCTCCTCAGCAGTCTCCTCCTGGGGATGATGGTGGTCAGCCCCCTGCTGCAGGAGGCTTTGTATTCACTGGCCAGGAGGACCCTGAGGATCTCAAGAACCTGCTCCAGTCCATGGGAGTACCTGTCCCCGAGGATGAAGAGGAAATTCGTGCAGCAGCCAAGCGGGCAGCGGAACAGTTCACTCAGTTCACGAAGAAGCAGAAGGTTACGGCCTAGTCATCTCTGCTGTATGGCTTGGTTGTTGCTTAACACTACGGTCACCATGACGGAAGCGCATGCGATCGAGACCTTCAACTGCTCGTCACAGCCTCAGCTTCTAGACTACCTGGAATGGTCTAAGGCTCAGGTGATGACGGTGCAGGAGCACCACATTCCTCCAGATAAATTACCTGATGCCCAGGCCAAGGCTTTGCAGCGAGGCTGGCATGGGATCTGGTCCGCCGCCAAGACCACGGATGCGGGCGGACGTTCAGCAGGGGTGGCAGTTCTTACTCGGAAACATGTGGTCATTACAGCTGCCCCTAAGACCGAGGACGGAGTGATTGCCCCGTCGAGGCTCATGGCCACAAAGTTGTCATGGGGGCCTGCTGGGGGACTCATCGTCTACTCGATCTACCTATACGTCGGAGAAGGCATGTCTGTCCACAACGTTGCTTTGCTCAAGCAGTTAGCGGAGCATGTGATGCTCATGAGGTCGATGGGCCACACCAACTGGCTGCGTGGCGGCGGCTTCAACAACAGCCCTGAGGACGTCGGGACGGACTGGCTCCACAGCGTTGGAGGCTTGGTCGCAGCGTCTCGGGCAACTACGTGCAGGCAGACCCCCCCCCCCCCCCCAGGTACCGTGATCGACTATTTTTTGGTGGGTGCGGCGTTGCTACCGCACATTCGCAGGCCAGCTGTAGTTGAGGATGCAGGTGCCAAGCCTCGCCTGCCTGTGACGATGCCCGTCACAACACAGGAGTGCCCAGTGATGCTTAGGAGAATCCAGGAAGCCAAGGAGATGCCCACCACGGTCAAGGCAGGGTGCTCAAGGTTTCCTTGCAACTGGAGGGTCGTCCGCGAGCAGATAGACCTCATCAAGTCTGACACGGATTTGGGCGCGGCGTGGCTGCAGGTGGTCAATACGATCGAGCTCGAGTTAGCAGGGAGGCACGACATTGTCGGAGATCATGTCCTGCGATATCTGACACCCTCGAGCGTTGCCACGGAGCTCGCCGCGTTCAAGGGTACTCCTGAAGATCGGCGAGAGTCAGGACACGGATGTGTATATGCCTGGAGAGTTGCCGCAAGATGGGTCCGACACATCCGTCGAATGTCCGAGTGCATGGACACGCCCATCCATCTCATTCGCAATGTGGGTGTCTCTGCCTCGGTTGGAAAGGAGCAGTTCTCTACTCTCTATGAGCAGCAACTCCGCGAGGTAAGACGAGGACAGACTCGCAAGAAGCCCAAGCAAAGTCACGTCGAGAAGCTGGGCGTTCTCTGCTATGACTTGGAAAACTTTTCTCGGCGAGTGCATAAGTCGCATGATGTGCTCCGAATGATGGATGACGCGGCTCGTGATTTTCTGCAGGCAGGGTGGGCAGCATGGTTTCAAGACATCGAATTAGATCGCAAGCTTGAGCAGGTCATTGCTCAGGCGCAGCTGGTGCAGGATTTGTATTCGCAGCGCCGCAGGGAATAATGGCAGCAGTGGTCAGAGGATGCATTCAAAAATGGTGGGCGTGATGCGCGCCGTTTCACCCGACTTCGCGCCCTGCAGCAAGTGTTGCAGGCCTCTGACCACTCGACGCCAGCGCAGCTGGCGGACCACGAGCTAGAGAAGTGGCAGCAGATTTGGAGTCTCCACGGCGCTGGTGAGCTTCCTCGCCCTGCTGATGCAGATGGGTGGGAGCACCTGCCAGAGCTCACGGGGGCCCAGATTCGGGCCACCATCATGTCTTTTGCCCGTCGCACAGGACGTGGGCAGATGCGTATTCTTCCTCGGCATTTTTGGTTTGTATGCGATGAAGGGCTACAGGCCATGGCTGAGATGTTCATGGCGTGCGAGAAGCGGCTGATCTGGCCGCAGGACCTTTTGTTCACGGAGTTGTGTATGCTTCCGAAGCCGAGCGGAGGCACACGACTCATTGCGCTCCCCAACACAATGTTGAGGATATGGGGCCGTGCTCGTCGACATCTAAGCACGGCCTGGGAAAAAGCACACAGACACCCTGCATTCTGGGGGACGGGAGCTGGACGTTCTTCATCGGACTGTGCGTTCCACTTGAACTTACAGGCCGAATCGGCACACGCACGCAAGTTGCATGTCGTTACAGTATTCCTGGACATGTTCAAGTGCTATGAGACCATATTATGGAGCATGATACTTCGGGAAGCCAGAGCACTAGACTTTCCTCTTAGATTGATCTGGATGGTGTTACAAACTTATCGTGTCCCACGGACCATACGTGCATATGGTAATATTAGCTCGATGTATGTGGCCCGTCAGGGCATTCTGGCTGGCTGTACACATGCTACCACTATACTTATGGTTGTGCTGCATCGGGTGGTCTCTAACCAGTACAATAGATATCCAGATATCACAGCACGCGTGCTTCATGGACGACTTTACCATGCAGTGGCAAGGCCCAGACCCCAGAGGAGCAGATATACTGCACACGTGCGTACGCAACTTCGGTGGTGACGTGAGAGAGTTAGGCCTCGTCCTCCAGAACTCTAAGTCGGGATTCGTTGCTACCACGGTTCGTGCTCGACATCGGTTTTCGTCGGGAGTCAAGTGCATGAAACTCAAGCCCAAGCACCACATGCGCAACTTAGGTCACGAACTGCACGGGGTCAAAGCACGTCGTATCCAAGAGCAAGCACGCATGGCGAAGCTTAAGGAGAGGGTCGGGAAGATACGCACGTTGGAGCGAGCTGTGCACGAAAGGCTTGGGGTGTTGTGGCGCACTGGGCTGTTACCTGCAGTGGGGCACGGCACGGGTGTGAGTGGTACGTCGGACACTGTGCTCAAGCAGTTGCGCACTTTCGCGGGCGGTATGATTGGAGCTGCCCGCAATGCATCACTCACGCTCTACCTTGCTACTCAAAGGGATGATAGATTCGACCCGGTTTTTGATTGTACTATTCTTGTTGTCAAAAGATACCATAGCTTTATATGGGACAGCAGAGTATCCTTAGCTGAGCTGCATCACACATGGCAGTATGTATCCGACAAGTTCCAAGATGCCAAGCCGACTTGGGCCATGGCACGAGGACCGATGTCGACAGTATGGCTTACACTGACTCGTATCGGATGGCAGTTCAGCGGACCCGCTCTTTTCACGGACGACCTTGGACAACAATATTCGCTGCTGTATGTTGCTCCCAGAGATCTGGAGAAGCGGTTGGTGGAATCAATTCATCGGCTCCAAGTGGGACGCATCCTTCACCATCTACCAGAGCGGATCGGCGACG